AGGAGGAGGGGGGGAAGGATGAGGAGGAGGAGCAGGAGGAGGAGGGGGAGTCCGTAGCCATTTTGGCTCAAGGCCATTGCCCGAAGCCACCCTCTCTCGGTCGTGAGGGTGTACTCGGTTAGGGCCCAAGTCTGCCCGCAGGAGGGCGCCATTTTCTCGGTCGGAGGCCGAGAGCACTTCCACATTCGTTCTCCCGTCAGCCAGCCCTGCTGGCCCTGCAATGAGCGCTGCTGCCTCCGCCGCCTCGCTCGATGGCATCGCTCAGGAGTGGGAACTCGCGAGCACCTTCCCCACACAGGAGGCTGCCGCTGTCGCCGCTGCAGAAGATGCTGCGAAACAGCAACGCATCGCCCACGCTGTTGCCCCCGAAGACGCTGCTAGCCTTAAGGAGTACGTGGGCACCACCAAGAAGAGCATGCTCGCTGCCCTGGCCAACGTCCAGAACTCGGTGGCCACGCTCACTAACACCTTCACAAGCAGCTGGAATGACATTGACAACAGGATCGAGGCGCGGCTCAACGGTGTGGAATGCCGCCAGTCTGCCCAAGAAGCCCGCATCGACGTCCTCGAAGGCCAGATCCGCTCGCTCACGGAGACCCTCCGCGACATCAGAGCTGCTCGCCCTGCTCCTCCTGCTGCCGCTCCTGGCTTCAATCGCAATACCGACCCGACCATCCTTCTGCTCCGCACCAAGCTGTCCTGCGCCAAAGCTGGAGTCCTCGCTGCGCTCTCCGACTGGCTCGGCCGTGCCCAGCTCAACGAGTCTGACTTCTCAGTGGAAGGCGAACCTGTTTCCAACAGGTACATCCTGCGGATCAATGGTTCTGTCCCCTATGCCTTTCGGAAAGTCCAGCAGGCCCTCGGCGCTCTTCGTCGACATGACCAGACATGGGAGCGCTTCCAGTGCCAGGCCCCCGACAACTCCATTCAGGAGATATTCATTTCTGATGACAAGAACGTGGCCCAGGTCAAGAGAGAGCTCGGCCTCAAACGTGTTCGGCGTGAGCTCGAACTCCACTACGGGCACCTTCGCTTCTACAGTGACAAAGACAAGGGTGAGATCTCGTGCCAGTGGAAGCCGCTGGTACATGTGGAACCACAGGCTGGAGAAGCACCGCCCAAGCTCTCGTTCTGCCTCGCCAACCTCAACGCGCTGGGGATCGACAAGACCAAGATCCTTGGTGGCGTCATGGCTGGCTTCAAGTCCGCAAGTGAGGCGACGTGGAGTGTTTAGCCCGCTGCTGGCGCAGTGGACTGATTCGCACGGCTCTCCGACCCCTCTCTCGCTGGCCACATGGAACGCCCAGGCGCTGTTCCACTGCAAGGCCGCCATTCGCTCCAGGAAGCTCGCACTTGCGCGCTCGCTGTGGAAGACTGGATCGATCATCTCGCCCCAAGAGACCCACGGCACGATGACTGAGTTGCGGGACTTCGCCTACTTCTCCAACTCCGCTTTCTCTTTCGCCTCTTCGTTCTGCCCTAACATCCGATCAGGAGGAGTCGTTACCCTGTACCCCAACTTCGAGCATCTTCCGATTCGGCCTCACCTAGTTCAAAAGAATGTCTTGGTTCCAGGACGAGTTTTGGAGCTCTTCTCCGGTTTCCCCGAGGGCATCTGGACATCACATTTTAATGTTAATATCCGTGGGCTTTCTGTGGGAGAACGGCACCTCGTTGCTCAGGCTCTTCGGGCTCGTGTCGCTGATGCCGCCTCTTCGCCCACTACTAGGCTGGTTATCGTGGCTGGAGATGTGAATCTGGCCGACTCGGCCCCGCGCTCGCTGGACGCAGACCCCTCCATTGACCCGCTAGATACCTTTCGAGATTGGCGCGCTTCCAGGGACGCGATTGTGAGTCATGTGTTCAGCTCCATGGCAGAAATCGAGACCCCTGACCCCGCCCACTACAACCGCGCGCTGGGAACCCTGAACACCATAGTTCGGATCTGCGTGGGCTTTCCTGGGCGGGTCTGCAACCAGCTGTTTACCAGCGGCCAGGTCAGTAAGATCCCAGAGGTCCCCCACGCCCAGGGCTTCTCAGACCACGCGCCGCTCGTGGTCAGCCTCGCTGGTAGTCCTCCGATCCCGTCTGGCGAACGCCCCATCCCGAAACATGTTGTCCTCCAGCCCGAGTGCAAGGAATACATCAGTTCTGTTGGGGCCCTGGGAGGTACTTGCCACCTCTCCCCACCTCTTCTCCTCCAGTGCCAGACGAGGATCATGGGGGAGGCTGCGTCTGTTGCTGGGGACGCCATGATTGTGAAGCGCCCCGGGTCGATAGATACCAAGTTTTTGATTGTCAAGAGCATCAGTCGAGCGGTTTGGAGGCAGGATATCATTTTAGCAGAACGACTCAGAGCGTCGCACTTCTTGGCCCGTCAGTACTTGGACGTTGACGTCCTCGCGCGCACGGTGACCCTCCTGCGCGTTTTTGAATTCTTGCAGGTCTCTGCCGAGCTCCACAGGAGTATCTCTGAGCGCGAGCAGGCTGAGATCAGGGCCAGCCTGACGAGGGTGCACTCAGAGAACCAGAAGCGGAAGCTCAAGAAAAGACTCCGCGCTGTGGTTCAACGCAGTCGCTTATGGAGTCCGTTTGACCGCCGAGTTTCGCTTCGTGGCGCGCGCTGCGGGGACGGTGTCTGCACGGAGCCTGGAAAAATGATGGGAGTATTATCTCAGCATTGGTCCTCCGTATTCTCGAAAAAGCAGATCGACTCCAAGAGCGCCCAGAGGTACCTCGACCGTTTCGGCGTCTCCCCTGACCTGATGGACTTGCCCCCTCCTTCCCTTCGCTCCGTGAAGACATACATCCAGGGCCTCGAGCACTCGGCCCCTGGCCCCGACGGGCTCCCGTTTGCTGCGTGGCAAGGGCACCCTGAAGGCTTTCTTATTCTCGACAAAATGACGCGGTTGATTCTCAACGGCAACCCCCCAATGGCCTCCTTCAGTGACCTCCGCAAGGTGCCCGTGCCCAAAGGCTCCGAGGCCTCCGACGAAGTCGCCATTCATCGGGGCCCCAACCAGACTCGCCCCCTTGGTATCAAAAGCGCCTCGAACAAGATCATCACGGGAATCGTTTGCCGCGAACTCAGCAAAACTCTGGATACCTCCATTACCCCGATACAGCGCGGTTTCGTGGGCGGTCGGAACTTCGGGGCCAACACACTCGAGCTAGATGCATACTCCAGGGTGTACGGCATGCATACCACGGACCCAAATGTAGCCATCTCGCACAAGCCAGTCCTTGTCAGTTTCGATTACGGCCAGGCCTTCCCGTCGATTGCGCATGAATGGCTGCTAATGTGCCTTCGACGTCTTCGCATCCCCTCCCCGCTCCTCTTCTTCCTCGAGATCCTCTACAGTGCTGTCCGGTGCTTCGTGTGCACCAACAACGCGCTCCGCTTCGCCTTCAAGATAGAGAGTGGCATCATCCAGGGCTGTCCCGCATCAGGCATGATCTACGCCATCGCTTCGAATCCCTTCCTGTCCGACATCGATGCCTCCCTTCGCGCTCGTTCTCAGCCTGGCGGGGACCGACGCCGGGCTCCCCACGAGAAAGGCATCGCTCGGGCCTGTGCTGATGACGTGGGCGCTGCACTTCGTCAACTCGCCGATCTCCGTATTCTGAAGCGGCCCTTTGACCTGAGTCTCCGTCTCGCAGGTCTCACCTTGAAGCCGTCCAAGTGTTTCATTACCCCCCTGGGAAGCGAGTTCTCACAAGAGCTCAGCGAAACGATCGCGGCTTGGCTGCGTGCGCAGCTTCCAGAGTGGGCCGCGTTCCAGGTTGCGCCGTTTTTGACTTACCTCGGTTTGGTGCTCGGTCCTGGGACCGAAAATGAAAGCTGGACTGGGCCCACTCGGAAATGGTTTGCCCGAGGCTGCGCCATCGCGCGTGCTAGACCTCCCACTCGCTCGGAGCACGCCCTCTTCGCCTCTCTATTTCGTGTGCCTCACTGCTCCTTTTCCCGCGCTGGCTGGTTCGCCCTTTCCTCCTGGGGCGGACCCTCCGTGAACAGTATAGTTGTTCTATCCCTAGCCTCCCTGATGCGGACTGCTCTGGTGACGCCCCCTGAATGGGAACCGCTTTTTCAGTTTCTCCGCGGGGCGGCTCTCGATCACCTGACCCTGCAGGAGATCGGAGAAGGAAAACCCAGCCCGTCCTGGTGGAAAGCCCCTCCTCTGGTGCAAAATCTCTCCCAGGCCGCTGCGGGCTTCTCGGACCACGCCCAATCGGCGCAAGCTGGCTCTCAAGCCTTGCAGTCTGCTCGCGCGCGTCTCAACCCTCCGAGCCCTTGCAATTCGGAGCCTATGCCGCCTAAACCGAAGGTCCAGCGTGTGATTTCTGCTTCGCTCCAGTGCTCTCTGTTTCCTGACCCCCTCCCCTCGATGTTCTCCTCTCGCCTCCTGGGCTGGTTTCCCGACCGTCGGGGCGAAATTCCAAGCATCAACTGGACTAAGGTGAAGGCGTGTCTTGCTGCTCTCCCACTAGGCTTCAGCTCGGCAGTACTCAAAACTATAGCAGGTGCATGGGTAACATCAGCTCGTATGCACGACAATTCCCAGCGAGGATGCATGATGGGATGTGGCGGGCCCGACACTCTCCTGCATTACTGGGCGTACTGCCCTGTTTTCCAGTATTTGCTTGCTCTCATCATCCAGCCGCTTCCGTTCCTCGATTCTCCCATTGCTCGTCTCGGCCTGTGCTATCCCTGTCGCGCTGATTTCGAGCCCGCTGCTGCTGGCCTTCTTCTCTTCAATGCCGCCACCGCCTCTCGTGCCTCTCTGGCCGATGCTTCCCTGCCCCTCGCTGGCTGTCACATCTTTGAACTACAGCCTGCTGTGCGATCCGCACTAGCGAGGCTCCGCGTCGCGAGCGCGGGCGCGGGCTCGGAGTAATCGACTTGGCGCGCCTCGGTGACGCGCCAGGAGGAGGAGGGGGAGGAGGAAGAGGAGGCAGAGGAGGAGCAGGGCAGGGGGGGAGAAGGAGGAGGAGGAGGAGGA